GACGCTGAGGTGATCACTTCCAAGTGTCTAAGCAGCAATCTGTGTCTAGAGTTGAGCAACACAAGTCATTAAAGTTCTCACGGTCCAACAATTCTCACCAGGTTTGTTGCACACAAAATTACAAGGTCCCTCACAGGAAGAAGTTGTAACTTGTAACCTGTTAGTTAAATCAAATTAATAGCTAATGAAGACTAGCTCCCCCCCCCCACCAAGTTTATTTCACCTGATAATTAAGCACCTTAACGCTAGGGGGGGGGTTAGCATTAGGATGTTGAAACATCAGGTGAAATAAGCGGGGATGCCTAATCTTCATGAGCTTCTATTCATATCTTGAAATTACGTATTAAAACACCCCAGCTTATTTCACCCGGAAATAAGCTGGGGTGTCTAATCTTCAGGTGAAATAAGCTGGGGAGTCTAATCTTCAGGTGAAATAAGCTGGCGTGTCTAATCTTCAGGTGAAATAAGCTGGGGTGTCTAATCTTCAGGTGAAATACGCTGGGGTGTCTAATCTTCAGGTGAAATAAGCTGGCGTGTCTAATCTTCAGGTGAAATAAGCTGGGGTGTCTAATCTTCAGGTGAAATAAACTGGGGTGTCTAATCTTCAGGTGAAATAAGCTGGGGTGTCTAATCTTCAGGTGAAATAAGCTGGGGTGTCTAATCTTCAGGTGAAATAAGCTGGGGTGTCTAATCTTCAGGTGAAATAAGCTGGAATGTCTAATCTTCAGGTGAAATAAGCTGGGGTGTCTAATCTTCAGGTGAAATAAGCTGGGGTGTCTAATCTTCAGGTGAAATAAGCTGGGGTGTCTAATCTTCAGGTGAAATAAGCTGGGGTGTCTAATCTTCAGGTGAAATAAGCTGGGTGTCTAATCTTCAGGTGAAATAAGCTGGGGTGTCTAATCTTCAGGTGAAATAAGCTGGGGTGTCTAATCTTCAAAATAAGCTGTGGTGAAATAAGCTGGGGTGAAATAAGCTGGGGTGTCTAATCTTCAGGTAAAATAAGCTGGAATATCTAATCTTCAGGTGAAATAAGCTGGGGTGTCTAATCTTCAGGTGAAATAAGCTGGGGTGTCTAATCTTCAGGTGAAATAAACTGGGGTGTCTAATCTTCAGGTGATATAATAATAAGTGAAAAATATACAGTACCTGTATTAACGCGGCACAGGAACAGCATTTAGCTTCACTACAGTACATGAATAACTCTCCAGATTATCTCACCAGCCAAAGAACCTCACGAGACACAACATGGCCGCCGTCGCGAACACTGATAAACCAAAAGTTAAGTACTGTACGGTAAGTTAATCACCAGGCTGGGCTATCACGGCTCGCCATATGCACCACTATAAAAAAAAAACCACGATTAAACACCCATCGGCAAACAGCCTCAGAACACGCTACATAAAAACCATTTAGCGAGGACTTGTTACCGTCTCTCCTCTCCCCCACCGACCCCTCTAGTCACTAGCTGATGGCTGGATTGTTTGTAATTATAGGAGTGGGGGAGGAACGATTAGCTGGAGAGATTCCGCTTCGTTTCCTAGCTAAAGATAATAGCCCACAGGAGATATAAATATGTACACAAAAATATATTGGTTTTTAGTAGGTTGTGTGTGCTGTCATCTGATTGGTGTCTCACTGAATCACATTATCATTGAACACCCTAAATGCTAATGCTGACGTCACCTAACCCCTCCAAGGTAGCTTTAAGGTGTGTAATCATCAAGTAAAAATAATCAGGGGGGGGTGTAATCTTCCTGTGATCCCTCTTGTCAGGTGTGAAGAAAGACACGCTCAAGCACCTGTTATCATCTTGTTAGGCTGTGTGTACGAGGAAGTGATAATGCCGGTAGTTAACGGTTTAAGGTTGGTATCCACACACACGAGTTTGTTTACAGGGGCACACAGCTACAGTCTCACATTATTTCAGCACAGTACTGTATGTACATAACTGTTAGTAAGAGCTGTTACGCGAGTTGATTCCACAAAAGGGACCACCAGAACATTACCCAGCCTATTTCACTTCAAGATTAACCACCCTAACGCTAACCAAACCTAACCTAATGCATCTTAAAGGCAGAAAATTCACGAATGCTTCTCTTTGTTAAACCGGGGTTTTTTACGGGGAATAGCTCACCCGGACATACAGGGTAGGTTCTCGACCCACAACGAGGCCTGGGGGCGAAAAATAAGAGTAAAAAGAAATTAAAAATAGAAGAGAAAAAGACTATACTGTATTAATCTACACCACAAACATGTGATTGAAATATAAAGCGAATAAAAAAATTAAATAAATAAAAATATAAACAAGGAAATGTTCAACTCAGAAAAAAAAACTTCAATAAATAAAGTTCCCTGCCCACTTATCTGGAAACATACAATTAAAATAGTTTACTCATATGTCCTGTTTATGTGTAGCTGTCAGTGTGCTGTATATGTGTGGGTGTACTATACCTGTGTGGGTGCACTGTACCTGTGTGGGTGTACACGATTACGCAGACACACACACCTCACGCCACCATCCAACTCAAACTTACCGACGCTCACGTTAACCTAACCTAACATTCAGTGGGATAAAACAAACAACGATCTCGTGTATACAGACGCTGAGGTGATCACTTCCAAGTGTCTAAGCAGCAATCTGTGTCAAGAGTTGAGCAACACAAGTCATTAAAGTTCTCACGGTCCAACAATTCTCACCAGATTTGTTGCACACAAAATTACAAGATCCCTCACAGGAAGAAGTTGTAACTTGTAACCTGTATCTGAATACTATAGTTGCGGGTTTCATTAACTATTTTACATGAAGCAACAGTTAAAAGAACGTGGGGGATACCGTTACAATGTCTGAATGGATGTTTGTACGACGAGTTATTTTCGTTAGTTATATCAAATTAATCGGAGCTCATGGAGATTACCCCCCAGCTTATTTCACCTGATAATTAAGCACCTTAACGCTAGGGGAGGTTAGCATTAGGATGTTGAAACATCAGGTGAAATAAGCGGGGATGCCTAATCTTCATGAGCTTCTATTCATATCTTGAAATTACGTATTAAAACTCGACAACTTGGTGTAAACATGGGAAAACGATAATCTCCTCTCCCGGGCAGGCAGGTTGGCGGCTGCAGTATCCTCGCCTCAGCTTAAGTCCGTCAACACAGCACTCAACAAGCCACAAGATTGGGTCGTTGTAAACTCCTGCTTAAGTCGAGAATCATTTACTTTATCAAGTCTTTTTCAATCAATTATGACTGACCTAACTTTGATCTGTTTAAAAAAACGCAACTTGGAAAATCAATGACGTGCTGTAGTATTTGGCTGGGTGACGGATCACACCTCTAATAATATTTATATCACCATCACCGGCTATCAAAATCTGGACAGCGGAAAACCGTGTTTACATCCGTGTGTGCGGTTCACATTTCCAAGAGAGCCTAATTATGGAGATCCGGAAGAGTTACTCTAACTCATTTTATCGGGATCGGAAATGTTGTCACCTGTAAAGCATAAGGTATCGGTGTTGCAACGTGATAACAGAAAACATTTCACTAAAGCAGTTCATATAAAGATTAGCCCCAGCTTATTCCACCTGATGATTAAAAACCCTAATGCTACCTGGTGGGGGTTGGATTAGATTAGGTTAACGTTATGGTGTTTAATCATCAGGTGAAATAAGCTGGGGGGGGGGGTGTTAATCTTCATGTAATCCCAGAAGACTTCCTGGGTTAAATTAGTCAACATTAAAAACACCTGTACATATTAACACCCATCCCAGCACACAACACAAAACCTTTCACGGCGGGAAACTGGTCAACGCCCTACACATACAACAGTTAATGGAAACTACAATAGCCAAGAGGACAGTTCACCGACAGGGTTCGTGCCCCACTTTGTCCCTCCACCAGCCCTTCCCCTCATTATCTGTCTGATCCACGTAAATTTTATTGTCTGTATATGAGTTTGGCCTTTGACCTATGCACTGCCACTTCATATGAAAAACTATATAATCAACTAACTATACTTGAAATGTTGTGGTATAGTTTTAAAGGGAAGACTTAGACATTGCGCCCCACTATTCTGAGATTATGCAAATAAAAGGCTGCAAACATGATTGGAATATCCAGCTTACTATTGGAGTTATTTACAAGACACTGTACTGATGGTAGCCTCTAGTCATAGAACAACCTTAAAAAGACACAAAATGATGTTTATGAAGTAGATTCGCCATACAAGGTCACATTTGTTCAGTATAAATATAGAACAGAGTGCAAGTATACAAACAATGGTGAACAAAAGGTGATTTTAGGTTGGCTACCCCGAGAAACGTGTTTTAAGCTGATGTCCATTCAGGTCTTATTTTTTTCTAATTATTGTCTTACTACACAAGATATTTTTCTTAAATCTGTAATTATAACAACTCGTACTTGTACACCATGGGCTTTAAGTTTAATTCTGCTACAGCTTTACATACCCACATCTACCCCGTAGCTTAATACAATGTATAAAGGAATTTGTAAATGCATGTAAAGAAGAATTTATATGAATATAATAAAAAAGTTGTTCTTGTTATTGGCAAGTCGTAACAATAGTCATCCAGCACCGCCACAACCTGTCTATTAATGGATGCTGAATGAGAATCTCCACAAGTTTCATCTCGAGCGTTCAACACGACCATCCCAGAATCTGTCTTTATTCTACCTTGGCATCACCAGCAGCGGACTGTCAATACCTGTGCTCGCACTGACACGCCATCACGATACGTTCCTGCACGTGAGTCACAACTATTGACATGCAATTGCAGTGAGAAGGTCGTTTTTGCAAGGGATCTCCACAACATGGCCCTCAGGCACCCACTGCACCTACCCGCCCGCCCCGGTATTGATTTCTCCACCGCCAACACAAAAGACAAACTACTCAAAACTACGCTATTTTTCATTAATCTGAAGCTTTATTTTACTGTATTAGACTCCAATTATGACTGGTGAGAGAATTGTAGCCTTACCTTGGTAATAGACGACGTAAGTCAAGTGTTCATTGGCCACTTCGGGAGAAATTTTGAACACAACCCGACGCTCTACACAACACACCGAAACTGTCAAAACAAAGTAAATTCCCGTTTTCTATATCAAGCACCCGGTAGACAAGAGAATCTCGTCATGCGCACTGGCCACATCGTTTTTCATTTTAATTGATACGTTTGAAGAATGTGGTTTTTAGATAATGTAGAGATGAACTGAGTAAATAATGACTGACATATTATTAACTAAATAAAACGACACATATGAACGCTCGGCCCATATTCAGTATCCCGTAGCTCATCAAAAATCTCTAAATAACCTGAAAGCTTTTTACAGGAACTGTTTGCAAATTGGCCTCTTCCTTGAAGGATGTGAAATAACCTCCAATTATAAAATTAATAAATATAATTTAAACATAGTGAGAGACAAAACAACAAATACAGTCAACCAGCAAGACTTAAAGCTTTACTTGAATGTGTACAATTCGTTTGCGATAATAGATACACCTGTAGATTATTGCCAAAATGAATTACTGTATTGACAACTGCATTCTGCTGCTAGTTTTTGTTGTCTGAGTTATCCTGTCACTATCAATAGAAGGAAAACGCGGAATAATATTTCGAAATTGGCATAATAAACATGTAATAAAGACGGCGAGGTTCTAGCCATAGCGATCTTGGTAACAATGTCCGGCCGTGAGAGCTGAGGTGACCTTGAGGCGGTGTGCGGATAACAAGGTACCACATTGTGACTGAGAGATAGATGGATATTCAGTGATATTGTCATCCAAGTTTACTATTTGTTCAGCATATATAAAGATAATATAGGTATAGGGTTCAGCGTGCATGAAGACAACGCAGGTAGACAGTGCACTGTACAGTACATCGACGGTACAGGTATATAATAGTAACAAGGCATTTCGACCAAGGGCAGGCAACAGTCACTAATGTTGATATGTCTGAGATACCCGAAAACAAAAAAAAATATATATGATCATCTCTATTACAGGTAAATAGGATGATAAATATTTATTCAGTAACATTTACTGTATAATGATACAGGCACAAGTCCCCACAAATACAAAAACTATAAACAATCAACTACTGGTATTTTGGGGGACTCGAAGCTTAGTATACATATTTTCCGGGTTTAATTGCACAACACTCTCCCCAATAAAGAGAAATACGATGATAGATACAGTATTTAAGTAAAATCCTTCGGACTGATTTATTATATAGCCTATCCTTCACTCGCTATACTTTTTTTTTTTACTTTTATCCTCTTGGGTGGTCGTTCACGTCTCTTTCGCACTGTTGGCAATGGCTAGTCCCAGTAATATACGTAGTAGATTTTTGACGTACAGTGTAATTATGTTCAAGCATTTCGCATTCGTTCGTTAAACTCTTATTGTGCCTGCATGTGTCCTTGCACCTGCACCTTACAAGATGATTTACATATCACATTTTTATGAGTCGCTCACTTCATCAGACAAATATTTGATCGAACGATTCCTTCCCCGAACGAGTTTTTCACCGCACAAAGTTCAAATGTGTCACGTGATGTCGATGGTGATGTGGGGTACGTTTGTTTGGGTTCACACTCAGGATGGGATGGAGAAAGGAAACTCACAATGTGCTCTCTGTATACATGTTATATTTGATGTACAATGCAGCTTGGTGCTGGGAAGTGGCAGCGTGGTTACAAGCGTGATGTAGAGAGAGCTGGTTGGTGAGGATGCTCAGAGGACAGCTTGTGGGTCGCCATGCTCGCCGGCGGGAGCGAGGGCCGCCAGGCAGCGGCGGAGGAGGAGGTGTTGCTGGCTGGCTGGTGTAGGTAGAAAAAGAGAGAGGTCACCACGAGGTCAGGTCTTAAATAGCGGAGGTAGGCGCGGCATAGTAGTTGACCTCCGTCATGTAAGGCGGCGCTTGTTGACCTAGACAAAGAGGCATACACTGGGGAATTCGCGGGGTTGGCTACTCAGCGACAAACAGCGTTTGTCGGGGAGAAATCCACTACAGTGTAAACATGAAATGGAAATGTTTGTAAGCAGTGTAAACAAACCTTTATTTTAAAGACATTTATATGAAGTAAACCATATATGATTACACAGTGGACAAAGTAGAGTGAACAAACCTTTAATTCTGAAATTTATATGAAGCAAATTGCATTCATAATCAAACCGTTCCGCAAAAAAATGATAAGTTTGTTCGATAAGGAAATACACTACACTATATGACTCAGCTGACGGTACTGTACCAGAGAGAGAGAGAGAGGTGTGTCCTTAGTTTTATTAGTTGACCTCTTGTGTGTTGTCACAGATGAAGCACAAGCTTAATGATGGCCTTACTGGTCTCTCCTTGGTCGAATCAACTGTTTACTATATTTGTATAATTGCACTATCTATGTATATTATTTGTAAAACTGTCTATATACATTATTTGTATACCAGCACTATCTATGTATATTGTTTGTATACCTGCTCTATTTATGTATACTGTATTGTTTGTATACCTGCTCTATGTATACTGTATTGTTTGTATACCTGCACTGTGTACGTTATTTGTATACCAGGACTGCCTATATACATTGTTTGTATACCTGCACTGTTTATATGCATTATTTGTATTCCAGCACTGTTTATATACATTGCTTGTATACCAGCACTGTTTATATACATTGCTTGTATACCAGCACTGTCTATATACATTGCTTGTATACCAGCACTGTTTATATACATTGCTTGTATACCAGCACTGTTTATATACATTATTTGTATACCAGCACTGTTTATATACATTGTTTGTATACCAGCACTGTCTATATACATTGCTTGTATACCAGCACTGTTTATATACATTATTTGTATACCAGCACTGTTTATATACATTGCTTGTATACCAGCACTGTTTATATACATTGTTTGTATACCAGCACTGTTTATATACATTATTTGTATACCAGCACTGTCCATATACATTGCTTGTATACCAGCACTGTTTATATACATTGCTTGTATACCAGCACTGTTTATATACATTGCTTGTATACCAGCACTGTTTATATACATTGCTTGTATACCAGCACTGTTTATATGCATTATTGTATACCAGCACTGTTTATATACATTGCTTGTATACCAGCACTGTTTATATACATTGCTTGTATACCAGCACTGTTTATATACATTATTTGTATACCAGCACTGTTTATATACATTGCTTGTATACCAGCACTGTTTATATACATTGCTTGTATACCAGCACTGTTTATATATATTATTTGTATACCAGCACTGTTTATATACATTGCTTGTATACCAGCACTGTTTATATACATATATACATTGTTTGTATACCAGCACTGTTTATATATATTATTTGTATACCAGCACTGTTTATATACATTGTTTGTATACCAGCACTGTTTATATACATTGTTTGTATACCAGCACTGTTTATATGCATTGCTTGTATACCAGCACTGTTTATATGCATTATTTGTATTCCAGCACTGTTTATATACATTGTTTGTATACCAGCACTGTTTATATACATTGTTTGTACACCAGCACTGTTTATATACATTGTTTGTATACCAGCACTGTTTATATGCATTGCTTGTATACCAGCACTGTTTATATGCATTGCTTGTATACCAGCACTGTTTATATACATTGTTTGTATACCAGCACTGTTTATATACATTGTTTGTATACCAGCACTGTTTATATGCATTGCTTGTATACCAGCACTGTTTATATACATTGTTTGTATACCAGCACTGTCTATATGCATTGCTTGTATACCAGCACTGTTTATATACATTGCTTGTATACCAGCACTGTTTATATACATTATTTGTGTACCAGCACTGTCCATATACATTGCTTGTATACCAGCACTGTTTATATACATTGCTTGTATACCAGCACTGTTTATATACATTATTTGTGTACCAGCACTGTCTATATGCATTGCTTGTATACCAGCACTGTTTATATACATTTGCTTGTATACCAGCACTGTTTATATACATTATTTGTGTACAGCACTGTCCATATACATTGCTTGTATACCAGCATCCATATACATTGCTTGTATACCAGCACTGTTTATATACATTATTTGTATACCAGCACTGTTTATATACATTGCTTGTATACCAGCACTGTTTATATACATTATTTGTATACCAGAACTGTTTATATACATTATTTGTATACCAGCACTGTCCATATACATTGCTTGTATACCAGCACTGTTTATATACATTGCTTGTATACCAGCACTGTTTATATACATTATTTGTATACCAGCACTGTTTATATACATTGCTTGTATACCAGCACTGTTTATATACATTACTTGTATACCAGCACTGTTTATATACATTATTTGTATACCAGCACTGTTTATATACATTGCTTGTATACCAGCACTGTTTATATACATTTGTATACCAGCACTGTTTATATACATTGCTTGTATACCAGCACTGTCCATATACATTGCTTGTATCCCAGTACTGTTTATATACATTATTTGTATACCAGCACTGTTTATATACCTTGCTTGTATACCAGCACTGTCCATATACATTGCTTGTATACCAGTACTGTTTATATACATTATTTGTATACCAGCACTGTTTATATACATTGCTTGTATACCAGCACTGTTTATATACATTATTTGTATACCAGCAGTTTATATACATTGCTTGTATACCAGCACTGTTTATATACATTATTTGTATACCAGCACTGTCCATATACATTGCTTGTATACCAGTACTGTTTATATACATTATTTGTATACCAGCACTGTCCATATACATTGCTTGTATACCAGTCCTGTTTATATGCATTATTTGTATACCAGCACTGTTTATATACATTGCTTGTATACCAGCACTGTTTATATACATTATTTGTATACCAGCACTGTCCATATACATTGCTTGTATACCAGCACTGTTTATATGCATTATTTGTATACCAGCACTGTTTATATACATTATTTGTATACCAACAGTTTATATACATTGCTTGTATACCAGCACTGTCCATA